ACTTCAGATAGTCCAGGTGGGTGGCTTTTGAATCGTTCCACCTCATTGCCCCCTGGGTTGGCCTCTGGTGAGGTGTAAGTGTGGGGTTGCATCTTGCTTAAGTGACTTCTCATTTCCTTTCTTTTTAAAAAGTTTAATTCCTGGGTTGATGTTTATTAATTACTTATAGCAAGTAACTTTATTGCTAGTATTTAGAATATTTAGGAAATGAATACTTCTAAGAGATGTCTACTAGGCATAGTTGGCTTTTGGGTTTGGAGTTTGTTGCAAGATCCTACCTCTTCAATTTATTGGGGATGAGAAATTGCTGCCTTTTTGGCCTAACCCCTGGTTTTTTGACACTGGCACACAGTATTATTTATGACCCTTAGGCAATATCAATCTTGGTATACCAGGAAAAACAACTGATTAGAACAACTATGTCACCTTGGCTAAAGTTGTACAATCATCAATAGTGATAGCATCAAATACAGTGTAGAAAATAACAAACACTGGTAACTTTTACTTTGCCACCTTTAACCATATGAACTATATTTGTGGTTATATAACAAAATCTAAAACAAACCGGAAAATTCTATACAGTTAATATGCCCTCAGTATGGTGATTTTACCCTCAGGGAAGAAATTTTAAAATAGGTTAGAGTGAAAAATAGATAAATAAAGAAGAGGGAAAGATTAGAAGCAAGGATGGAGAACAAAGGAAGATTATGCAAACTTTGAGAAACTGGTGAAGAAGACAGGAGGGAAAGAGAGGGGAGAAATAAAAACAAGAACAGAACAGAATAACAACAACAAAAACTAGAAACAATGTTCACACTTATATAACAACAAGAACAATCAAGAAAAAAGAAAACAAAACAAGAACAAAAACAAGAAGAGAATCTGGGTCTGGTGGCATATGCCTGTAATCCCACCACTTGGGAGGCTGAGGCAGGAGTATTGTCACAAGACTGAGGCCAGCCTGGGCTACAAAGTGAGTTTAAGGTCAGCCTGAACTACATAACAAGATCCTGTCTCAAAAAAAAAAAAAAAAAGAAAAAGAAAAAAAGAGGAAAAGAAAAGGAAATGCAAAAACATGAAAAGAAAAAAAGAAAATAAAAATTTTTAAAAGTCCACTTCAAGGTTTGTTCCTGCTGTCAGTAGTAGACAAAGTGATGGAAATAGCTTTGTCCAAGAAGGATATCAAAAGGCAAGTTGTGCAGTTGTCAGTTCACAACAGTGAAGCTAAACTTCTTCCCCTAGGAACCTCTGGTCAAAGGGCAGAGCTAATAGCTCTAACTCCAGCACTGATATTAGGAAAAGGCAAAAAGTGAACTATCTATACAGATTCCAAATTTGCCTTTCTGGTGCTACATGTCCATGCATCAATCTGGAATGGAAGAGGCTTAGTGACTAATAAGCAATCAACTATGAATAACAAGCAGGACATTCTACAACTCCTAAAGGCAGTCCATCATCCCAAGCAGGTTGCAGTCATGCAAGGACACTGAAGAGACACTGAAGTCTCCTTGGGAAATCAAAAGGCTGACAGGGAAGCAAAAAGGGCAGCTTTATAACCCCTTAAGGCTCTATCCTTATTCCCAGTTCCTGAGAAACCATTAAAACCAGTCTATATTCCCCAAGAAGATAAATAGGACTTTGGACATGGGGGAATTAAAAATAATCTCTGGTGGTATTTAACAAAACAAACTGGCCCTTCCTCAGGGGACACAGTGAAAGCTATAAAAACACATCATGATTCCTTCCATATGGGAAGAAATCCTACATTGGAAATGGTCACTCAAGTTTTCACAGGACTAGGACTAGCAACAACTACCCAATAGGTCTGCAAAGTTTGCTCACTCTGTGCCTACCATAACCTGGGCAAGCCCAAACCACTTCCTTTATTAGAACCTCTACAGAAGAGAGGGATGTATGCTGGAGAGGACTGTCAACTAGACTTTACACACATGCAAACAGGGGGAGGATTTAAACAAATGTTGACGCCTACATCTAACTGACACCTTCATAAGCTGCACTGAAGCCTTTCCTACCTGTTCAGAAAAGGCTACAGAGGTAGTCAGGGTGTTTCTTAAAGAAATCATCTCAATATTTGGTCTACCTCTGTCCTTCCAGAGTGATGATGAGCCTTATTTACCTCTCAAATAATTCAAGGAGTGGCAAAGGCTTTAGGCTAAAGGAACCTAAAAGTTCCTAAAGGCTTTAGGTACCTCCATTCCACCTGGCGGCCTCAATCTTCTGCAAAGTTAGAGAGAGCCAACCAGATCTTAAGTGAGCTCTGCCAAAATGTTGCTAAGAGACATCTGAGTCCTGGCTCTGATTAGTGTCAATAGCACTTACGAATTTATAAAATGCCCAAAACTGGGTTAAATTTGAGCCCATTTGAGATGTTATATGGAAGGCCATTTTTATCCTCAGATAGTAGACCCAGAGACTACAAGATCCTTACAATAGCTCATCAATATGGGCCAAGTACAGCAGGCTATCCAAATGTATTCTAGCTACTGGCCCAGGGGGACCACCTACTGTCTACCTTGGAAACCAGGTGCTTGTAAAAACTTGGAGAGAAGAGATTCCCACAGACCAATTAAAGCCAAAATAGAAAGAACCCTTTTAAGTAATCCTTGCTACACCTACTGCAGTAAAAGTGGTAGAGATAGATAATTAGATTACTCTTTCTAGAACAAACTCTGTCCCACCTGAACCGTCTGAAGAAAGAGATTATCCAAAAAGGAAAAACTAATCCTGTGAGCCTCTGGAAGACTTGAGATTTCTCTTCAAAAAGCAAGACTCCAGTGCTGCTACAGATAAGTAAACAGGATCTTGCTATGACCCTAATTCTCAGATTTTTTTTTTTCTAGCACTGGGGATCAAACTCAGGACGTTGTACTTGCGAGGCAGGCAGGGCGCCACTGAGCTAAATCCCCAGCCCAGTTCTCAGATTCTTGATAACTTACATTCTTCTCTACAGGAAGTGTGGAAATCTGACTTGCTCCTTATATTTGGGCTAACAGTAAAATTTCTTTCCCCCATGAAACAGGCAGCTCAATGGTCACTCTTTCCTCATTATCTTCTGACAGGCTTTTCTTTTCTTTTCTTTTTTTGTACCAGGGATCGAACTTGGGACCTTGTGCTGGAGAGGCAGACAGTGGCACCACTGAGCCAGATCCCTGGCCCCTTTTTTTTCGGGGGGGGGGGTACCAGGGATTGAACTTGGGACCTTGCGCTTGTGAGGCAGGTGATGGCACCACTGAGCTAAAACCCTGGCCTCTTTCTTTCTTCCTTCTTTCTTCCCTTCTTTTTCTTAACAGTGAGCCCCAGGACTCTAAAATAGTTGGAGAGTACATAATCCCCAGTAGGTGAGGTCTGTAGCCTCTTCCAGCTTGAAGAAACTATAGATCACAGAGACCTACACTCCCTCTGCAAACCCTAAAGAATTATGAGGATTTGTGCCCCTCAGTGGAAAATGAGGCTGGAAGGCAGGGCATGGCAAAGTTGGTTGGGGGAATAAATGTGAGGAGATTCCAGGACACAAATCCCAAATAAATCCCAAGGCCATGCACATGAAGTTCTCTCAGGTCCTGTGATGTGTAGAAGAAATAAAGAGACTGGACACCACTAAAAGTGTGTTACTGTGGGTTTTCTTATGGTAGTCCACTCTGTGTACTGCACTGTATACTTTTATTTTGGTTTTTTGTTTTTATTTTTCTCCACTTTACTTGGTCCAAGTTCACTCTGCAGAGGGAGTTTCTCTCTTACACTTCATTTTTAATTTTTCTAATAAACTCTGTCACCATTTTTGCTTGCTTTGCTCAATTTTTTCCATGAGATGGAAGGAACTTGGAAACCAAGGTGCCAGCATCCCAAACCTGCTAACAACCCTATGTCAAAAAAAACAAAATAAATTTTAAAAGTTAAATGAAAACAATGAAATAAAAAATTCTCAGAATTCTATGAAGTGTCAGTCTTCATCTTAGTGGTGACTCTAATGGTAATTTTTGCCCAAATTGTCCCATTTCTGATTATTTGGTGCCACAGTCCCGAATAAGAGAAAAGCTACTCCAGGGTGCCTGGCCCCTTTTTCCCATCATGTGTAGGAGACAGTGAGGTCAGGTGGGGCTCAGGAGAAGGAGCCAGGAGACCTCTGCAAGGCCAGGGTGCTCCTGAGTCTGTCCTACTGATATAGGGGGAAGAGATGCAACTCCCAAACCTGCTAGATATCCAAAGTGTGAGTTCGTGTTCTCTAAAATCAAAGACTGAATTCTAGGAACATCAGAGGTTAAGAGTAGGAAAATTTATTGAGAGAAAGATAGCTTCTGTCTAAGAGATAAAGAAGTGGGGCCAGAAAGTGGGTTGCCTACTCACCCAACTTCTCAAAGGTGTTTTATAGGACAAAGCCATGAGGTGAGGCGAGTTCAAGGTGGGACAAAACTATAGTCAAATAGTAAGATTACAAGTATAGTCACTTAGGTAATATTGATCCAATGAGAAATCACAAGGTAGACAAAACTATGAACAACCAATAAGATTATGACAAGTGCTTAGGTAATATTGATTAAATGGGGATTCAATGAGGAAACAAGTCAAGTAGCAAGTGTATAAGGAATGAGCAAGGATTTTCAGTGTTAAGGGAGGTGTCAGTGTCAGGGATCTTTCTTGAAAGATCTTTGTCCCCCACCCAGATGATTGATACCTATTTAGTATATCAATCACTGCTATTCATCCTTCTGGGAAGCACATGGGTGTGGTAGTTTCTCTTGTTTTAAAATGTTGGCTTTCATTGAATGTGTCTAGATTGTCCTCCATGTTGGTTCTGTGAAGGCCACCAGCCCTGCCTAACAGCCTACAAGATATTTAAGTAACTTACCAATCTACAATACTATAATGTTTGCCTTCTAGAGACCCCAGCTTACAGCTGCAGCCTTTCTGAGAGGCCCCCAGGCAGAGTGGCAAAAAGCAGGTCAGCAAGGAGACAAGTGAGTTTGGTGTTTCACCATGCATGGACTGCACCTGGGTTGAGGGCCTGCTTTATTGAGACAGAAATGCTCATGTAGGACTCATGGACCTCAGCTTTTCCAGGTTGTGAGAGGAACAGGGAGCAGGGTAGGAATTTAGAAAATACTGCATGATTGAGACAATCGGGAAAGTCTATGCTAAGTCAGCTTAGGGAAAACTGGCCACAGTAAGAGAATCAAAGAGACAGAGAAACCTTTGGCACCTTAAGCCATACTGGCGCCTAGCGAAAATAGTTGGGACACTCATGGGCAAGCAGGTGCCAGCCCTGATCAAAGGCCTCCACCACAGCTGGCTCCAGGGGCCCTTCCTCCACTGCGGCCAGGTTTTGCTGCAGCTGCTCCAGGCTGGACATGCCCAGGATGACTGCATCCCCTCGGGTGCCCTGCAAGGGGAGAAGCACCCTTGAGCACACTTGTGCTGCCCAGTAGCTCCAGTCACCCCCCCCCCATCTTGCCCTGCCCCTGCCAAGGTTTGGGATCTGTGTGTATTTATATCCTGAGCACCCAGTAAGAACTCAAGGTACCTCTGACTGTCATACTTAGGTGACTTTATACCTTACCTTCTCTTCCCTGCTCATCTACACAGAGCCAGGTGAGTTCTGCCACCCAACAGCTGGGTAAAGGCCTTGGTTACTTAAGCTCCTTGAGATTCAAATCTTCTGTTTTCTTCTTTTCTTTCAAATCTCCTGTTTTTAGTGTAGTTACGGAGAGGAAAATTATCTAAAGCACTTAGACCCCATGTATGGAGCAGCTACAACATATACACTGTGAGCTGCCTAAGGCTGTGGCTGGAGAAGTTTTCGCCAGGAAGACCTGGGCCTGAGAGAGAAGGAAACCCAGCTCCCACCAGAGGAGTGGGGCCAAAGGGTTTTGCAGTTAAACCTGCATTAAAATTGCTACCCCGTTAAGAGCCATAGGAACTCCAGTTTTTCATCAATAAAACTGGAGAAACCACACCTCCTCAGGCCTAAGATAGAAGGAAATCAGGTTAGCAAAACTCATATTATAAAACCTGGCACTTAGATGACAGCACAAAACAACAGGAAGAGTACCCATGAGAACTGGAAGGAGAAATTTCAGAAGAGAACAGAAAGCACCTAAAGGTGATTCTGAGATCCTAAAAGAGCACAGGAGGCATCCCAGGGCCAGCCGGGTTACCTGCAGCTGAGAGTGGTGGTATATCCAGCGCAGGGCAGCCGAGGTCATGCTGGGGGCACTGGTGCCATAGGCAGCCTGCAGGGCCTTCTCCACCAGGGCAATGGCCTTGAAGTGATGCTCCTTCCAGAACCTGAGCAGGTGGCAGGGTGGCACGGGTTCAGTACCCTGGAGCCCACAGGCAGAGTCAGCCAGTGCAGTTGCTCCTATCCACATCCTGCAGTGTCCCCTCCAGCAGTGGAGCTTCTGCTCTATGGGGCACTGGAATAGGCCAGGCTGCTGGCCCTCACCAGAGACACTGATGACATCTTTATCCTTAGAAACTCATGCACCTGCCCCTCTTTACCTAATGAAACAAAGTAGCTAGGCCAAGGGCAAGATTCAGCCCCAGGTCTCCTGAGCCTCTGTCCAGAGTTCTTTCCTTCTTTCTCAGCAGGTGATTTCTCAGGGCACAGCTATAACTGGAAGACCACATGACCCTGGATTCCCAATTTCTTCACAGAGGTCCAGAGAAAAGAAGAAACCTGAGACTTTGACAATTCTTGTAGGAATCAAGAGAAGTAAGTACAGGCAGCAATGAACGTTTCACCCCAGGAAAGCCACTTAGAAATTCATTTCAGATAAAGGAGATTTTCTGCATCTCACCGATTCCTGTAGATCTCAGCCCAGCTATTTCCAAAGAAGCGGCCCTCTGGCTTTTTTCCGTCCTTGTCCTCATACTTGTACTTGCCGGTCAGCAGGCCCCCTGCAGGAAGGCTGTGGTCAGATCTGGGCCCAGACTTCTCCCAGTGGCTGTCAGACCCTCCAGCTCTGGACACGGGGAGGCAGAGGAGCCAAAAAGGGATGGGGGATCCAGCCCAGCTCTTGCTGAACCCTCCCTGCTTCCCAGGCCCTGGGCTGGGCATCCACAGGGACAAATTAGGCATAGACATGGCCCGCAATGCCCACCCATTCCAGAAGAGCCTGTTCCCACAGGACCCATACCAGCCAAAGGGTTGTAGGCGTAGAACCTCAATCCAAAGTGTCTGAGGCAGGGAAAGAGCTCTGTTTCCACCTGCCTGGTGGTGGCGTTGTACATGCCCTGCAGGGAGAGGAGACAGTTGGAGAAGGTGAATATATCAAGGGAGGGGACCCAGTCTGTCTATTTTCTTTTCTTCTTTTTTTCAGTACTGGAGACTGATCCCAGGGCCTCTGTACTGAGCTGTATCCCTAGGCCTTTTAAAATTTTTTATTGTGATACTGGGTCTCCCTAGGCCAAATTACCCAGGCTGGCCTCAAATTTGCAATCCTGCCTCAGCCTCTCAGAGTGCTGAAATTAAGGCATGTACTACCATACTTGGCCTCTTTTGTTTTTTTAATAAATAATTATATCTTTAGAACTTTATTTTTAAAGACAGGGTCTCCCTATGTTGCTAGTGAAGGACCCTAGTTAGTAAGACAGACTCCACACTGCTGCTTGATCCACCTGCCTGCCCTTTAGATGAACTCAGAAGGAGGAAGCTTAAAATCCTCCTCCCCTTAGAAAGTCTCTTTAGAAATAACAATTAATCAACTATTGTTTTCCAAATGTTCTAACAGCAGGATGTTCTGCTTCTGTACGTTTTGCTTGCTTTACTAGTTCTATCCCATAGGGGGGCCTAGAAACTGTTGGCCTCAAAGGTGTATAAAACATGTTTGTCAACCCCCAGTCAATGCTGGAGTCCAATGCTTGGCTCGGGTCCCGGCCGGTAATAAACTCCTGTGTGGATTTAATATCGGTCTCTGGTTGGTTCTCTCTCACTGGGTGCAACATTCTTGGAGGCCCCAGCGAGATAGCCAGCTGCTCTGGAGCCTATTATCTTGGAGCCATTGTTTCTTTTTAGGAGACCAGGATCGGACATCAGCGGTGTTTGGCCCCTCTGGACACTGGTCTGCAGAAGGAGAGGCCACCCTGACGGTATTCCGGGGCTCCGAGTAGACGGGTCCCAGCCGGGCCCTATCACCAATCAATCGACTCACAGGAGTTTATCAGGAAAGCCTCTAGAGGTAAGAATCTAATGATTCTTAGTGCACTGTGGGTAGGTAGAAGGAAGCCAGACATGGTGCAGGTTCCCCTATCTACAGTCTCTTCGTAACGGCAAGCAGACTCAACTGGGTCAGAGTCCTCAGAAGAGTGACTCCCTGGGTGGGGTCCAAATCCATTGGGGCCCAGAGGTTTATGTGGCCAAGGTTTGTCTTTGTTTGTTTATTGTTGTCTGTCTGTTTGCTCTGTGTGATTTTTGCATTTTCACAGGCTAAAATTATGGGTTCCTCACAGTCCACAGAAGGAACTCCACTTGATTGTGTTTTGAATACCTTCAAAAAAACTTATTCGGGCTGGGGATTTAGCTCAGTGGTTCTGCCACCTGCCTTTCAAGGACAAGGTCCTGAGTTCAATCCCCAGTACCAAAAAAAAAAAAAAATTTATTCCACAGACAGAGAAGATGAATATGGCATGAAATTTTCTAAAGGCAAACTGCAAACTCTGTGTCAATCAGAATGGCCAAGTTTCAGAGTCAGTTGGGCCCCGGTGGGAACTTATTCTGTGCACATTGCTCACAAGGTTTGGAATGTGGTCACGGGAGTCAGGGCTCCACAGGTCCCGATCAACCTTTGGCACTCGATTGGGACAGGACTATGGTCCATGAGCCCTGTCTTCCTCCTCCCTTTTTCCCTTAAAACAGACAGAGCCTGGGGGAGGATTGATTTATGTTCCTTTTACAACCAGTGATCTTTACAATTGGAAACATCAAAATCCCCCCTTCTCTGAAAAACCTCAGGCATTAATCTCTTCTTGAGTCTGTTTTTCATACCCATCAGCCAACGTGGGATGGTTGCCAGCAGCTTTTACAGATCCTGTTCACCACTGAGGAGCGGGACCGCATTTATCAACAGGCAGTCAAAGAGGCCCTGGGGCCAAACCCCAGTGTCACTCCGGGAACTACAGGGCACTAGGCCAAGGCTGAAACAGTAGTTCCATCATGACACCCTGAATGGGATCCCAATGATGATGACGGTAAGAGGAGGCTGGGGACCTACTGCCAGCACTTATTAGGGGGACTCTGGGCAGTGACCAGAAAGCCCACTAATTTGAGTAAGGTAAGTGAGGTTCGCCAGGGAAAAACAGAGTCTCTGGCTGCATTTTTAGAGACTCTTGGAAGCCTATAGAGTTTTCACTCCTATCAACCCAGAGGCTCCCAAAAATGTAGCAGCTTTAAATTTGGCCTTTGTTTCCCAGTTGGCCCCAGATATTAGAAAAAAAAAATTACAGAAATTGGAGGGATTTGAGGGAAAGAATAGGACTAAACTCCTGAACATAGCCCAGAAAGTTTATGATAACCGTGATGCCCCTGAGGAAGTCCTAGCCAAAAAACTGGGGAAAGTCACTATTGCTGCACTCTAGGCACAAGAGATAGTCCCTCCGGACAGAAAAGGAGAAAGTGCCTTTTCGGCTTTAAAGAAAGCCTTACTGTCAGCACCAGCCCTGGCCCTACCTGATGTCACCAAACCCTTTCAGTTGTTTGTGGCTGAACGGGGTGGCGGTGAGGCATAGCCAAAGGAGTGCTAGCTCAGGCATTAGGGCCTTGAAACAGACCTGTGGCCTACCTGTCTAAAAGACTTGATCCTGTGGCAAGTGGATGGCCTACCTGTTTGAGGGCAGTTGCAGCCACCACCCTCCTGGTCCAGGAGGCAGATAAGCTCAGCCTGGGACAGGACCTGGTCATCACCACACCCCATGCGGTGGAGGTGTTGCTGAGAGGAGCCCCAGAATGATGGCTCTCCAACGCCTGCCTGACTCAGTACCAGGCCCTGTTGCTGGATGCTCCACACATCAAATTCACCCGAGAAATGACCCTCAATCCGGCCACCTTACTCCTGGACTCCGACTCATATGCATGCCCCTCCATGACTGTCTGGACACTCTGACAACTTCCACCACCAACAGCCCAGACCTGACTAATGAGACCTTCTTCACTGATGAAAATAGCTTTGTGGAAGATGGAGTCAGGTATGCAGGGGTGGCCGTAGTCAGTCCAGGAGGACAGGTGCACTAGACACAGGCATTAAGCCAGGGGCTTCAACACAGAGGGCTGAACTAATAGCCTTAACTCAAGCCCTGTTAGGTTGAGACAAGGCTGTAAACATCAACACTGACAGCCGGTATGCATTTGCCACTGCCCATGTGCATGGCCACATCTACAGACAGAGAGGGCTATTGACATCAGAAGGAAAAACAATCAAAAATAAAAAGAAATTTTGGCCTTATTGGAGACAATTTGGGAACCCAGGGCATTGGCTATTATTCATTACAAAAGCCACCAAAAAGGAGACAGCTTCGAGGCCCATGGTAACCGAGAGGCCGATGATGCGGCCCGACGAGTGGCCAGAGAACCAGTGGGGCCAACAGACATTCTGCCCATCCGACCCTTTGGCTACCTGCCAGAAAGACCCACATATACCCCGAAATAGGAAAAAAAAAACCCCAAAGCGAGGGGGTATAAAACTGGACTCAGGCTGGTGGAAAGGGACAAATGAACAAATTTGTCTCCCCCGAGCCCTGGGGCGACAACTTGTTCATCAGTTACATCACTTAATTCACCTGGGAAAATCAAAGTTAAAAAGACTAATGAGCTCTAAGTTTTCAATCCCAGGACTGACCTCTGTGGTCCAGGACATCAGTTCCAGGTGTCAGGTGTGTGCACAGGTAAACACCAAGACGAGACCAAGGAACAAAGGTAATCGACTACGGGGAAGAGAGCCAGGGGAACATTGGGAACTTGATTTCACCGAAATAAAATCCAACAATAGGTTCAAATATTTACTGGTATTGGTTGATACCTACTCAGGTTGGGTAGAAGCTTTCCCCACTCATGGAAAATCAGCCAACATAGTAACTAAGGTTTTGCTCCAGGAGGTAGTTCCCTGATTTGGCATCCCTTGTTACCTGGGGTCCGACAATGGGCCTGCCTTCACGGCACAGATATCCAAATTGTTGGCAAGGGCACTACATATCGATTGGAAGTTACACTGTGCCTATC